AAAAGAGGGGACATGTTTTGACACGGGGTCAACAACACCCACCCCTTTTATACATTATGGGGGCTCGTGAAAGATCAGTTGATACCTTACCGAATCGGGTAATCCTCCGTGGGCTGTACAAACATCGATTTCTAACGAAGCGTAAGAGCGAAACCACTTAGGATTCCAAAGCGCCCGTGCAAGGCGGGGTAGTCTGTAAAAGAATACAATGTGGGCAAATGCAGTCTCAAAAAATGGGATCTTCATGTCGCTACGGTGATTGTTATATGCTTTTCAATATGATAATTGCCTGCGTATTTTTAAACAAATGTAAGGTGAATAAATGATTTGATGAATGAACAATTAATTTGCAACAAAACGTATAATATTTATACACAAACGACCGAACTGATACAACCGAAAACCGAGTTACACTTATTTCTATACCAGTAGATTTGTGTTCTAAAACAAACATCACGGAAAGGTTCAATTCTGATATGCAAGAAGTAACCTTAGCAAAATATAGGTATAAAGTTACAAAACATTTGCAAATACAGAAAGTCTACTGCTGTACGAGATTCTGCAAAGAATTATCCCGAAAATGAAAGTAAAAACATGAGAACAAATCCAGTATACACCAGCGTGACTACAGATACTCTTAATGAGTGTGAAGTATGTTGAAATTCATTTGAATGAAAAAGTATAATCGTTAGAGAACATCTCGCGAGAAATATATATGCTCTTATACAATTAACCTCAGACCCATGCACATTAGTGCTGTTAAGTTTTACGTATGCAACAGTCAACATTTACATTAATATATTCATGATTATATATACAGGTAATTTCAGTTCACAACAATTTGCAAATTCAAATAATTTGTCAGTTAAGGAAACGAGGCATACTGATAGCCTATTTGAATATCAATTAATTATTTGTTTTGTAAATTATTCAAAACGTAAATCTTCGTCATTGACCGAAGAAAACATAATATTTTAGCACTTTGCTTGACGCAAAGTTAGAAAAAGCTTAATTCTATGGTTAGTTTCAGATCAAGAGATATGTATTTTCAATAATCGTACAACCATAACTGAATAATGAGATGAAAACTTTTAATATACCGAAATCAATAAGACGAACATTAACAACAAGTCGGATATTTACATACAGTACATCCCGCATTTTCTCTCCAAAGTAACATTGCAGAAAACGACCGCTCACGCAAAACGTTTTACCGCAAAAGCCGCAAAACGGAATTGTATATTCTGACGTTTTAAATTTTAAGCAAACTGAGCGAAGATGAGACAGACAGATTAAAATCGACCGTGAAACAGTCTTTGTTATAACGTTATGAGCCCTGGAATTTTCCACTTAAACTTTTAAGCCCTCGATCGATAATGTAATGACAGACATTGTCAAGCAGCAAACGACAATGTGGTATTGTGAACTAATGGCAAAATTGTAGGTATAAACGTGAAAGACAAGTATCATTTATGCAAGCTTATTAAAAAACTTATTTATAGCCCGTAACGTTACATTGCCCGACGAGCCTTCATTTGAAATTGCATATCAGGCCAAAGCGTTGAGTAGGTGGTTCATATGTGTTTGATATATAATCAGCCCTAAACAATAGACAAAGCTAAGTGAGTTGATTTGCGGGCAAGATCAAAAAAGCGAGTCCACTTTAATACCCAAATATAAATTACTCACATAATTCCTCTACTGAAACGAGGATATAATTTGCCAATTGTACATATAATATGAAAACAGGCAAAGCTTCTATTTTGCATTTTAGTCGGGTCTTAAGTTTAATTTCGGGCTCGGACATGGTTTAAAACGGGTATCAATTCTGGCGTACATTTGGCGCTTCTTCTTAATACCATTCATGAGTAACATTTAAAAAAAAATCATTTCATAGAAAAATGAGCTCAAAATTTGTCTCATTGGCACAATCTCACGTAATTGTATTTTCGGAAAATAATAATGAATAGTATCAACCACTGGAACAATATAGAATCTACCGCCCACACTGAGACGATTCTATTCAAATAGAATGATGTCAGTCGTTTGCAAGTTTAAAACGAAACCAGCTCTTTGATTTATCAAAGTGAAGCTGGATCAAGTGACATTACTTTTAGTTTTTGTGTTGAGGCGTCGGGAGAGTTGGATGGATGTGATCGGCATGCACAAAGATTAATACTTGAAAACATCATGAATAATTCAGTGAGATTTCTAGCCAAGTCTTACCAGTTTCTTTCCCGATCAACAGTACGCGAGTACTACACAAACCACACTATAAAAAGACAGTGAAAATGGTACCAGCGATAGATTATACACCGACAAAACATTTTTTATTTTTATTACAAAATTTTGCTTCGCATTAATACATTCTGCAGCTTGTATATTGACTTGAGAGTTGTGTTACCACTTTTGTTTTGTCGGTAAGCATTGTGCTAATGTGGCGACGCACAATATACACAAAACAACCTGATATTGGGTAAATTGAGACTGAGAAAATTGGAAATAAAATAAAGGTAATAGCCTTCTAGCGATTTTTTCTACCTCCAGTACTAAATATCGCCTGGTCTAGTTAGTAGTTGCAGATAAAAGCGATTCTTTCACAATAAAATCTCCAACACTAAAAACACAAGAACGACAACTTTACAAACGATCCCAATGTCTTCGTGTTCCATAAGAAACAGCCACCATGCATCACTCCAATAATTGACAATATTTGGCCATGATATAAAATAGAAATGAAGTATATTGGGTGCTCCCGAAGTATGCGAACCAAGATGGCGGACATCGGAACGTAACATGGGTAACAGGTTAGGGTTAGGCGATAATTTTTTTCCAATTTTCCTTATTTTAGTCCTATTATCAGTTCGAAGACTAGCCAAGAGCCTCCCGTAGTATTTATATCTAAAATTATGGCCTAACCCTAACCTAGTACACATATTACATTCCGATGTCCGCCATCTTGGTTCGCCATCGGGAGCCCCGTATATTGTTATTACAGAGCCATGCGTGATCGACTTCCCATGGTTAATGAATTAATCAACTTTTGATAAGATATCAATTTTCATAATAATTGACTTCTGCTACAGCATGTCGAGATAATAAAACACTGGTTTGTCGTTACAACCCCAGTAATGCATAATGCAAAGCCTTGGATTACGGAAACGTCAATCATGAAGGGAGACATTTCGACTTATACTTGGCGAATAGTCAAGTCGTTATTACAATAGAATGTTGAGGGCCATAACACCACAGTCCGTGTGAATTTAGGTTAATGAAGTATTTTGTACATACCGGTTTTCATTAATTGGGACTAGGTATATATTGACCGATTATTCATTAACGTTTTGCAAATTTTAACGTGTCTGTGTGTCTTTGAGGTTATACTCGAACAGTTCAACCTAACCTACCTGTAATCATACTTCGAGACAAAACTAATTTTAAATATTAAACAAATTTAACTGCATTCTATATAGTAAATATATACCTGATTTTATTATGCTGGTCACGGTTAACTTCCCAATACAAATATTCACATATCTATTTAAATTTTAACAAATTATTTCCGTGAGTTCAAGGAATAGGTGGCAATTGTTTAGCAACTTAACATGCAAAATTTCATTGTTTGTATATGAAAGATGAAATGGTAAAGTTGACTTGAATTTAACAGTTACATAGTCTAGAACTCTAGATGGAAAAGATGTCAATATGTTCACCCAAATACAGACATCACTGAATAAAATAACCAAAATTAGAGAAAAGTAGCAGCAGATTTACATACTAAAGTTACAGTTATTTAAGTCAATACTATAGAAAATATTTTAAAATAGAATATAAGTCAAATGCAAATAATTTATGATGACAAACGAGGTATGCACAACTCGACTCTAGGCTTTATTGACTAGATATATTGCAGATATGCATATATATATTATAAATAAAAACGAATTGCGAATAAATAAAGTATTGCAAACGGAATATTTTGCAGTTACATGGTCTTATTGATTTACATATTGTGAATGGGGGCCAAGAAAATCGTTTGTATTTTACTAATTGTCATATTAACAAACCACAATTACCGTAAACAACCATTTAAACGACAAATAAATTGAATTGTAATTTTCAATTTCTTGTTGGTATGTATACAAAACATATAGCACTATTTGGTACATAATTTGTTATACAAGTATGCTCATGGAAGCTCGAATATTTTCGAGTAGCTTTTTCAGTCTGTCGATCGCTATCACTTGAGGTTAAGGATCCTTGACTCAAAACACTTTAATTCATCTAAAATCGACTAATGAAAGAAGTGGTACAATTGATAACTGCCCACTATACAAACTAGATGTTTTTGATAACTTTTGCCGCCTTCACGCTACGAATTTTCGAAGGTTTTCGTGAATTGTTTACTTTCATGTATGCAATATTTTATGTATTAAGGCTTACACAAGATTGGGAATATGGGTGGATGGTCCCAATCGCCATTTGAGCGGTTATTGGATACCACATAAACTAGTATAGGCCTACTTGGAATGTAGTGGTGAGCACGGAGCAATTCCTGGATTTCCCAAGAATCGATCGAATGCGGGCGTCTGGCATGTAATGTTGACATAGTTAAGGCATGCAAGACACAGATCTCAGGACTAGACTATTCGGACACTCAGAATGGATAATATAAATTGAAAGTATATATAACGAGAAATAGAAATTGTTCAAATACTTTTTCGTGGGTGAAATTGGGCAGTTTTACCCAAAATCATTTGAGAAATAGATTTTAAAGTTAATATATTCTGAAGGGATAGCATATACAGAAATTCCATATAACCTAACTGAGTTAGTCTCTTATACATGTGGCGGTTTCGGAAGTCTTTATGGCGAAGTCTTTATGGATTCACCCTCAAATTAGAATTTTTTTCAGCAAGACGGTCGAAGTGTACGCATATTTTAGATTTTTGCTCATGCTGCCCCGAAAATAGAATTGAAGAAGCAAAAAATAATCTCACCTGCTTATGCATCTCGATGTTAAGTCCGTACGACATTTCGTAATACTGTAAAAAATGAACAAATATATTTTTAGATCAGAGAGTTAAAAGCTAAATGTAATTTCCCATTGTTTTAAATTATGCATGAGATAGTTATGTTACTTGTTTCTCAATGACGCGCATTAGAACTCATTGACAAAGCAAGAAATTCGAATTTACTCATAACATGTTATTAACTATCGGCATGCGTGCTGTATAAAACCTTGCATCTACAATAATGTAGACCGCTTCAAAGATGAAGAATGATTTTCGATTCGGGTCCCAGTATCATTTAGTGGGCCCTAATGAGCCCCCATTAGGGTAGTTCGTGTCGTTTTATAAATATATGGAAATTTTGTAGTTTTTTATTGTATTCATTTAAATATAGATATTCTAAATTATTTCGTCACATTAGAAGTAAATAAAAGTATTTCTATTATCTATATTGCAATGCAGTTTCGCGAATATCGATAAATCTTGATTTTAGATTATCACACTCATTGGACACCCTTAGCCATTTATGGTAACAAGTTTGAGAATGGGGTAAACTTTCAAGATTACATTAATAGAACGTTCTACATTTACATTTCTAATTAAAAATCTGCGATTCGGGAAAAGTTCTTGAGTAGCTTATCAAGTACGAATGTGAGCGTTTTGAAATTGAATTCAATTGGCTTGGTTACTGCTTTGGTTGCAAGTATAGCCAAATGACGAATTAATCCATTCAGCTCGTTGTATACCAACTAAGCGATTAGTATGAATAAATTGAATGTAATGCACAATGGATGTGCACAAGATGCAAATTTACAAACAATTCCATAATGCAGTAATTGCATCCTAATGCTTAATCGTAATATTTTAGTCCAAGTATTATAGCAAAAACGTGCATAGTATTGCGCACAATAACTAAAATAAAGACGAAGAGGATGAAATCGCTTATTACGCATGTACTTATCCTACTTCCGTATCCCTCATAGATTTCATTTTAAAAAGGTGAACCAAGTTCAAGAAACTTGTATCAGTATCATCAACAACACTTCCATCATCATGTTTACTCGACCCTACATAACAATTATATGATTTTTTTAAAAGCATTCCCCAATAGAAGGAAGTAGGCAAAGGAAGTATTTCATCACGATTGCCGCTAAACGAGGGAGCGGAGATTATACCAAAATGACGTTGCTGTGTATAACCTGCATTTCACGCCCTGAGTAGTATTATAGAATGAAAACAAATGCATATTATGGGAACACACAACTTATTCAGCAGAATCTGTAGATGCATATCTTCAGACACGTTTCGTTAGGAGGGCAAATTTACAACTTCAACATTTTTACTGAACTATAAATAACCCATTATCGGTCACGTTTTATATCAGATTAGGATACTTTGTTGGCTGGATACCAAAATAAATTATTATAAATAAATATATTGGGCATGTTGTTTACTATATATAGGCTTATTTGTTTGCGTGGATAATAAATCAGTCTAAATCGGTAATACATTCTCCAATATATGACAAACAATACTTTCAAGATTTCGTCATGAGGTATTCAATATTTGCTGATTAGGAATGGTTCTTTGCATGTTACTAAAAATCAGACAAAGGTCGCATTATCCATCAAAATCCAGATATTTTTGAAATAATCTGGTTAATTAGATTCCTGACAATTATCGATGTCAGTACTTCAATGCTAAATGTGGGCTAAATAACGTAGCAACGGAATTTCGATTTTTAATTAATATGGCCAATAATGGATATATTCCTGTTTTAGAGTCGATTAAATTGGCGTAAACTAAAAGTACTAGACCAACTGAATGGCTGTCTGGTATCCGCAAATCTTTATGAGCTTTGGTTGTTTAATATGTAATGAAAGTCAAATGATATGAAACGCGAATGAAGGAGAATGGACAAACATCGACGGAAAATCAATATTTGAGTTGCGCGGGGCAAATAAAATTGACTGCTTTTGGAAATAATATAGGCTTACACTTACACCGACGTTCAATAACTTAATATAATATAGCATGGAAAAAGTTTACATTTGTAGATTGTGATCATGACAAATGGAACAGCTATAAAATTTTCATTTTAAACTTATTTAAGTTTTATCTATATGAAATAAAAAAAACTTAACAAGGGCATACATTCGTCGTAATTTATTTCGATTGCTTTTCAGTACAGTAAAGATTATTATGTAGCCACTATGCGGGAAATAAAATATACATTTGAATAAAATTTTAATCTTCTTTGCTTTTCAATAAATATACAAAATGAAAGTAGAGCGATATGAGTATACTCAATTTTTATAACTTCACTGCTTTTGTTGCAATTGCATTTATATCCATGATACACAACGAGCAGTTCAATAAGTAGCAGCAATTCAAGCACACAGGGTTTCACAGTCAATTACATTATTAAAGGGTCGTGTCCTCAATATCAAAATTATGCCGAAATAACACTTTTAATTTCGTGAAAACTTTTTTAAATAAAATGCATGAAAATAAGCTACTTCGAAATCCCAACGTGAATGTTTCCATCACGTAGTATGAGTTTATGACTAAGACTTACCATTACATAATGTCTTTGCATTTCCGTTTTTTCGTTTGCCAACTTTTCACACTCAAGCTTTAAACTATAAATAACAAAAGTACAGAAAGGTACATATAATAGTACTACAAAAGTTTTGAACTACGTTTGTTATACACGCATATTTTCGAGCACTGAGATATCAATTGTTATTTTCTGGTATAAACTAATATACAACATATTACACATTATAACAATTATTGGGGTGTCATTATATAAGCCAATCTAGACTTGCCGGAGAATGAATTATTGTTGGATATTTGATAACCAACTAGATTCACCTGTGATTTTGTGCTTGCAAGAATGCAAAATCATCTTTTATCCGATCACAAAATTCCGGTACAGAATTTTTAAATTGTTGGGTATGTGACGGTACAGCGCCCTGAAATCAAATATTCAAAGCAATAAATACGTGTGACTGACAGAATTTTCTTTATATATATCATAAAATATTCACAAAGTACATTTATCTCGTATTAATGATAAGTATAATGACGATTGGCTGCTAAAATGACGTAGTTGGAAATATTTGGCATTGTTAAACCACATGACATGTCCCAATAAAGTATTTGTTGTGCAATGACATAATTCGTAGAATCGATTCTGTTTGAATCTTACATTTGTTTTAACCCAAACAAAATGTTCATTTTTGCATCAATATATTGTAATTTACTTTGCCAAATCAAAATTTTTAACAATGGTTATATAAATACGCAACATTCCTCTTACCGTGGGCCGCGGAAACATATCGATGGTTGTGGGCGTCAATTGCTTGATACAATGGCGTTCATAACACTGCGGTTTAAAACAAGATATCGCCTGCTGTTAGAGCATTCTGAAGGCAGACAGTGTATGTAATAATAATAATGTCTATTGTACAATGAATAATATAGAATTTGGACTCTGTATTTGGTTCATCTCAGACGTCTGACATTCTGCCAATATAAAAAAAAAATTTCACAAAACTTGGCGCAACAAACATATATTATCCAAATATAACTAATTTTGCACGACGTTTGTGACGCATTCTCCATAAAATTTTAATTTGTAAATATGTCACCTCTTACCGATGCATCATTATTCTGTACCGATTAATTTCCCGACCGTGTAATATAATCAATTAAAACCTGCCACACTAACTACATATATCTCTTGTTCTGTCCACTTTATTATATATATAGGCTACCGAGATAAATAACAAATCATCTAGATATCTAAGTTTGTTTGAAGATTATCACGAATGTATTATATATACTTCTTTTCCTGTTGACATATTTCATTGCAAGAGTTGAATGTTTTTGATAGCTATCGCCGCAGACCAACTTTTCTACAAAACCTTCTGCTAAACGACAATAAATCAACACAACTTCTTACAATGAAATGCAACGAAAGCGGAGGAAAACGACATCGCGGCAACAGTTTCCATGCGCGAAGCTCAATAAAGCTGGAACTGAGGATGGAAGTTAGACACTATTACGCGAGCTAATCTTATATCACTCGAATAGTTGTCTCTCGTTTTTCTGTCTTGTCTGCGGAAGATAGATTTACCGATGGAATTTTCTCCTTACCTGTTTTCATTGTGTTCTATCCATGTGAACATTGTTCTTTATCGCCCTCGCCGGGCCAGGTTGCTCAAAGGGTGAGTAATAATAACAAAAATCACAGCCAGGGTAACGGTAATATCGCATAAAAAAAACGCAATATCGCATAAAAATTGCATTGCACTTATCTGCATTATCATTAACTTCCCGTTTCATAATATTAGATAATATCTTAATTAGATATTAGAACCTTGAATGTAGCAGATTGACGACCAACGCTTCCTTTCTATATTTTTTCATAACTGCGTTTTTTTTTTATCATTTTGTTTTCCATTTTATTGTATGGAAAAAGGAAACATGACTACTACTGTAAAGATTGCGTCTGAGTCGTAGTTTAAGAGATATATAGACCATTTCTTGCCATTTGTAGAAGTAAAATTTATTTTGCTAAAAAATGAAGCGTAATCATGTTGGAAGTCGAATAACTATAGTGTTTCTCCGAAAAAGACATACCCCGCAAATAAGACTTTGGATAGGATTTACATATTTATCCGGAGGGAGGGGAAAGCCGATAAGACAGCCCAATCATATGGCGAACCACGGCCTCTCGTCCGGTTACCAGTCCAGGTCGGGTATGGGATTAAGTTAGCCAGTTATTCGTTTTCGGAAGCATGGACTTTATGGCGGAGGAAGCCGTAACCGACCAGCGGTTACGTGAACCACCCCACCCTTATGTCATTATGCCACAACAAATACTTTATTGGGACATGCCATGTGGTTTAACAATGCCAAATATTTCTTAGCGTGAATTTTAAAAATGATTTTAATATAAGCCCTCCCCTTGGGTGTCGCAGCTCGATAACCAGTTTTGGTTCCCCGCGGCTTCCCCAGTGATGTAAATATCATTTTTTCTTTATATTTTTGCATGTTTCTTACTAGTTGGAAAAAATAAACTTGACTTAAAATACGACACGAAATTGCACCATGGACAGTTCTTTCTAAATGGTTGATGACTTTCTTGTTAGGTTTGTTATTGGGGATAAGTAACAAATATGCGCAGAGAAATGTACCTCAGGGTTGCATGGAACTCGATATTTCATTGATATTAGCAACAGTTGAAATTTAGAGGTAGATTCAAGCTTTTGACTTAACTTGTGATGACTTGCTGTGGATCAATGCGGGGAGGCGCTAGTCACGCAAATGGCTTTTTTTTACATTTTGGTGGGTCAAACGAGTTTGGCACGGTATCCTTAACAAAATCTGATCTAACCAAATCTCCATCTAATAGGAAATCCACATGTTAGAGTGGATTAGAATTGTTTCCAAATCTTGTTTGCAAAGCGTGAAATCTCGTAGAGCCGCAATTAGATGAGAAATGTTTGATTCTTGCTGAATACTCGACCTAAAATGAGGTTGAATTTTGTGGTGATGATTCTTGTCCCATATGATTTGTGTGTTCATTGCGGCATCTAGTGTCGCCCATTGCACTGTGCGTTTTGGTTTGGTGTTTTGGGTGGTGACAGCAGAATTGAACCCATACATTTGCACCCGTACATCCACGGGTTCAATCTATATGCGGGTGCTAAAATTCATGGGTAAAAATAAAATCACGGGTTAGTATGGGTTCAAAGGTGCAAATTTCCACAGGTGCAATTGTCGTGGGTTCAAATGTAATGGAACCTTTTTGGGTTGTTGCGGTCTGCTGCATAATTTAGTCTTATTCAACCGCCAACATCATTTTAGACCGAATAGTATTCCGGTTTAGTACAATACACAAACCACTACACACATTTGCTATCTTTAGATAGATTTTAGTATTTTTTTCAGTGGTTCAGTGTATGTTAGCTGCTTTTCAATATGCAGACAAGCATATAGAAATTCCAGAATTTTATCCATTTGATAATAAGTATAAGTTCATTTCGACTCCATTATAAGCAATACATATAAATAATTATTAAAAACGGATTGCGGAATCAAAAGAAAACCCTAAAAAGGTTCAAGGGGTACAGTACAGAATATATGCTAACTTGAAAGGTTTTGCGAGCTCATCCAAAAGAATTAAATTAATTCACACACACGCACAACCACAGAGATATAAAAAAGTAAGAAAAAAAGACAGATAAATTACATAGCAAACAAACAAAAAAGAATTTCTGGGATGTTGTCAGCTCCAATTTCACGATCTGACGATCGACTGCCAGCGTCACAGAGTTGCTAAACTGTAAATATTCAAGCTCTGCTAAATAATCCATGGTGCCATAGCCACACGACACTGATTTTTGTTGAAAGGAGGTAAAAAAAAAATTCAGGGAGTTTATAGTTAATTACTCTTAGAATCGTTTACCTTGTGAACATTAAAAGCACAAGCGACTCAGACTTTTGCATTGGATCTTATGGCCGAAAAATCAAATGACTAATACAAAATATTCATTTTTAAATAGCATTCATTTTACTATAAAATACTTCAAAGTGAGAAACCTTGAATTATCTTAAGACAGCGCAGCCACATTCATCTTCTAATCCGTGTTGCGAATTGCAATGTTTACTTCTAGAAATTCTGTCTGAAATATACTATTTATCACAGATAACAGTAATATGTTTCAATAATGTCACACAAACTAAACCCAGGTGTTTACATCACCTTGATAATTACAATACTGTTGATCATATGGATGCTGCTTAATGAACCAGAAAATCCCATTGTTGATATGGAACATTATATGAAGCAGCATATTATTGTGGAGTTCTTTAACTCTTTGCATCCATTGTTATCGGGACTATTTATTGGTATGTTTAACAAGATTTGAATGATTGCTTGTTTCATGCTATATATTGGCATGGTGCATTGACTGTGAGAAATAATTTGGCAGGTGCCATTCAGAAATTGCATGCTAAAATCGCCCCAAAACTTTCACCAATCATTATTTGATTGACGCTCTGACAAATTATTTTCAGACTCTGCTTGCTACTGGTGGTCTTACCTTTCGTAGATATTAACACAAAGCCATGCATACTCTAATGAAATAAAGGATACCCATATCTGAGAAAAAAGTCATGACTAACCAATGAAACCATACAGACAATTATTGCTAGTCGATGCGAGAGAGACTCTATCAAAAAAAACAGCTAATTGGTAGTGAATTCCCTACATGTGAAGTTATCTGGAAAAAAATTAGAAGCTTACCACAAATTATTTTTAGAGTTTGGACAGATATTTTCTTTCTCATTCCTTGGAATTCACATAACTAATCTCCTTGTGAAAGATTCGCTAATATTTCGACAGCAGTCTGAACTCTCATGTTAAAATGCTCTTTCTTCATGCAGGCTTGTTCTGTCTATTTCTATGCTGGACTGTCATCTACTACAATAGATTAAATGTTGGAGATTTTCCATCAACTCCACTCTCACCAAGCAGATCAATCTTTCAAATATCAGACATGTGAGTAAATTCTATTTTTTTTCGACTCTCTGCCCATAACCCACAGAAATAAGTCAGGAGAGCAAACATGACAACACAGAATTATTTTTTTCCGACCAATTGTGTGACCCAGAAATTTAATAAACTGTCTCTTTTTCCTAGAGTTCATCCGTCAGAAGTTGATGGTTTCAATGCCGTACTTGCATATTCTACAGCAGTTTTAGTTTCCCTTGGTGCAGCAAGTGTTATTGTGTACAATTCACTAACTGAATGACAATTTCATACAATCTCAAAACGTATGAAATCAACTTCGATGTCTTTCGTTCTCGACTTGTGGAACTTATAAGATGAAGGAAGATCATATCTCAGTTCTGGAAGAAAAGAAAAAGAGCCATTTTACCTCATTATTAATTAACGGTACAAGACTCTAAACCCGACACTGTCATATTATCATAAACTATTATTATCAACATTCACTATTTATATATATTTTCTCATACTCAACAGGCCCAGTACTATTGCATATTGGGATCGAAAGCAATAATCTTACAGACTGTACCTGGTGTATATCGAATATAATCATGCTTATTGGTATCTAACAGCTTTCCTTGTGTTATAAAAGTTTGCATTTGATGCATTATTGCGGCAGCAATGAAACAATGTGGCACGGATTGGGGTGAAATATAACCATATTGGTGCAACCATTTTACCTACTACTTAATTTATCATAATAAACTCTTCACTGTTGATATTCACTCATTAAACTATGATAAAAAATGTACCAGCAACCACTTCTGCTTGGAGTCCAAATTCTTTTGCCTTCCTGAAGACATGAGATCTTGTACTTGTCTTGTGCAAAGAATAAATTGTGTGCTTAGCCATCTTAGATGCAATGTTCAAGAACATCATATCAACACCTTAATTATAGTAAATTTTATGTATAGATAAGTGAGTACAGCTCAGTGAGAAAATGATGTTAACACCACAAAGAGAAATCTGAATTGATAAACAAAATTAAAAAATATTTTTTTCCTAGCTCTTACCCTGATTGTTCTTAGTTCCAAATGGAGGATTCATTATAACTGTGTCAATATTCCTAAAACATATCAAATTTTAATATTTAAAAGTTGTAGAGTTTTAATTTGCAACACAACAATTGGTTGGCAACAAAATGGCATAGAATAGTTTTTACCATAATAGGTAGCTTAAACATAAAGTATAGGTTTTCAAACAGCCCTGGAGGGCTGCTAGTGCACCTTGCAACTAGGATCACGCCTAATGGTGGAGTGACCCTTTACTTAATGGTGCGAGAGCAATGCGGAGCAAATCCGGTGCTGGGGTATCTGGTACTCTAGGACCCTACGCCACCGCTACATGTTATCTCAATTAGGTAGTTTTTCTCCATCCATACACGTACGTGCCATTGCCATACATTTTGGCAGGTTAAACAACGCAAGTAAAAGTTTTCCACCTGTTAGATTTTCCAACTATTTCTGTTGCAAAGGCCACATCAGCTTGAATTAAATCAATGTTGCATGCTTCAAATTCTTCACAGTTTTGATAGCAAATCTCTAATGCATCTGTAGATGGAATTAACATTTCAAATCTCAGTACCAATACATAACAAAACCTGAAAATCGGGAGGGAATATTTTTTATTATTGTTTGAATGGCTACGAAGCTTGTGACCGGCGATAGCCACAACAAATTCAAATGTTTCCCAGAATATTTTCCCTCAAATTCTCTAACCTTAGTCAAACTTAACTAATCAAAATCGGCCTTATGCACACATAACCAAACAAGCCATCTAGCAGGTAACACAGTGCAAATATACCTTCATCTATATCTATTGAAAAGCAGAAATCACATTCCATAAGTGAAGCAGCAATTGACAACACCCCACAACCACATCCTAGATCTGCTACAACTTTCCCACTGATATCATTATATCTGGTTTCTGCTGTATGAATCATACAAGCTGAAAGATAGAGAGATTGTTTTATTTCCAACAGAAATCACATTCCATAAGTGAAGCAGCAATTGACAACACCCCACAACCACATCCTAGATCTGCTACAACTTTCCCACTGATATCATTATATCTGGTTTCTGCTGTATGAATCATACAAGCTGAAAGATAGAGAGATTGTTTTATTTCCAAAAGACACTCAACACACAAGATGAATATAACCATGCATCTTCAAAAACATGGCTACTATGACAATACTATTAGAGAATAGTAACTGCGATGTAGGGCAAAACATTTCAGACTCAGCTGGACAATACATTTTTTTAAGCCACACTGTCACTATTTGGTATATGTGACTACACAACACTGCCTGATGGGTCATACACATGTTTATTCATACCAGGCTTGTTATTTACCAAGATGAATTAACATACAGAAAATTTAGGAATTACCTAAATAAAATCGCACAGTATGTTTTCAAGTTTAAAAGTAAAACATACTTTGGACCAGTCATCACTGCTTAACAAAGATATAAATCACAAAGTTCCTCTCTGGACTCTGGTCACAAAGAATCTCAGTCGGATCATGAAATTTTTTTTGGTATTTCTTATATTATCAGATTACCTGCAATATGTGGAGAAGTCACATACTGTTCCAATGCAATTTTTGGTTCCTTGAAGCGCTCAACATTTTCTAGGTGACTTTCAAGATGTCGTAACTTCATTAGAATTTAATTAAAAAGAGACTAGTAGGTCTATGAAAATTCCATTAATACAGTGGTTAATGTACTAGAAAATGCAAACTTGAAGAATGGATGATTGACATTTTGAAAGGATGGTAGTGCATGCCATAAAAATATTAACACAGATTATATCAAACCAATGTGAAATAAATCTGAATATTGTGAGAGTATGAAATAATATAAACAGAAATTGACAAGCAGTCCAAACATATAAAATGGTTTATAAAATAATTTGAAAAAGAGTTACACATTCAGTGTTATATTCTGTTTATTTATTTTTTTGGCTAGCGAAAGCAATTTCGGCACTTGCTAACTGACAAAAAATATACAACAGATAGAAAACAGCCAAATGAATGATTATACATCATTTGTGCTACTCTATATGCTTTTCTAATATTGAAGAAATAAAAATTTTCTTGCTGGGTGACAATACAAAATGAGCACAAAAAAAAAACGAGATTTGAGCATGAAATACTGCAGAGAATAGCGAAGATTAGAATAATGAAATATAAAAATTGCTAGTTTGGCAATACTGAGCACCTAATTATCACGAGTTTATAATTTGGAAGTGGATCATGTCATTGGTTGCATTGCATTAATATTTGGATTAATTTTCTATCTAGCAGCTAATAAAAAATTGAATCTACAAATATAATATTAATGAATAAAAATTAGCTTGACCAAGAATTTGATCATCACAAATCCCCCTTAAATTGGCAGCAAATAACTTGAATAATGTAGCGAGAATTATGGTGATACAAAACCAGTGGTTCCCACGTTTTGAGAACCACTGTACTAAACTAAAGACAAATATGAACAGTCACCGAACAAAGTAAAATACATTCTAAATCGATACTATCCCTAAAGGACAGTTAGAAACGTTTATGCTAAGAATTTGTCTAAGCAACTGCACTGGCCAAGATTGAATATATAAAACAGTGCGACTATTTGCTAACCGTAGTACCAGGTAAATACTTGTGTCATATTCCTTTTTAACTATATACAAGGGAGCAGGGATAAAAAAATTCAAGTTTGTGCAAAATTCCATGAAATGAGTGAGTGTTTAAGACAAATTGTTAAACTATCAAATCTTGATGATATATTTACAATTTTTATTAATGGCTGCAATACAAAGTCTTCAGAATAACTGATGCATATATTGTTTTGAAACATTACTACCAAAGAATGGTATAAGTCGGTGAGTGTCGATTGAGTCACTGTGTAGAAAATCACATTGATGCTATCTCTCTCAACAAAAAAGAAATTAACATAAGAGCATGCTGTGTTAAAGACAAAATTCACAAAAAAATGTAATTTCAAATATATCAATCTCAAGAAAAATGAAGAAATCGTTGATTTCATTCAAATATCATTGGGCATTTCTACTTACAACCCAAGCAATTGCCACAATAAACTTTCCTATGTATACCACAAAACAACAGATTATTTTATCTTTGGAAATGGGTACGAAAATAAAGCAAAGTCTTGATAATACTTTGCAAACAGACTTTCAAGATATGTGTTATTAACTACTGAGTAATAATACGCAGTTGTGGATAAGCTGGAAGGAGAATAATATGATTGGCGAGTTGGAAAGTGTAGATCTTTAGGTGCTTTAATCTGCTGCAATACTTTTTCTGAATCTTCATATAAGTTGTCATAGGAACCAATGAAATCGTAACTGAAGAAAATAAATGGAATTAAGGTATCTATATAAGAATCCTACATTACATGCATATGAAATAAGATTTCCATATTAATATAGTGAGCAAGAAGTTGATAGAACAGCTCTATCATGAGATGAATTTGCCATCTCGTTACCATTTAAATATGTATATGGGATATCTGAACAATTACTTGGTGTGATGCCAATAGTACACTTCATATAATATACAAAACTTCTGCAACAATTTATATAAACCAATTAAAAAATCCATCCTTTCATAAAATTTTTTTGGACTCGAGGCACTTTTCATTTCAACGTACCTCAGTCAGTAATCCTTGTCTTCCCTGCGCAGGGTGGCAAAAACAGTTAAACAGTACCAAAGGGAAAATATTAAGCTATGTAGAAGATCAGCATCCACCACACTACCTCAATGTATTATGGTAAGCTATTCTGCATATATAAAAATACTTACTCAACTACACATGGTTGACAGAGAGTATGCATTGGGGCCCAATGTTCATTCATGTTTTCAACAATACTGTTATCAAGAAGAAATCTGATGAATTCTTCAAAACTGACATCATCACCAGGAATCTTACCAGTATATTCTTCCTGCTTAAAAAGGAAAAGAATACTAAATGGATAAAATTTATTTCTGGAAATACTCATTTCACACTCATATTATATAAATGCGGTTATGGCAATTGTTCCCTAATGCCATCCCTAGATTGGACAGTGGAAAATCAAATATCTATTAAAGAATGTTGGTTCAAAATCAGTTTGGCAACTTCTACATTAGGATAAGATTCACATATATATTCCGGGGGAAAGGAAAGCCGAAAAGACAGCTTAATTATATAGATAAACATATAAGTTATTTGTTTTCAAATGCATGGACATGATGGTGGAGAATCCATAACTGACCAACAGTTACATGAACCCCCTTATGGCGGTGAGCAGTGAGGAGTCCAGCAATGCTCTTTTTTTTAGTTCATTAAGCAGTTGAAGAATATATACTTTGCAATATTGTTATTATAAGTTTGTGTAAAGTTCTTCTCAGTTCATGGTATTTTAAATATTATCAATTCAAAAAATGATGCGGCTCTCATATATTTCTGACTTGCTGCCCACCCCTGCCCTATGGAGTAGATGCATCTATTCAAATAAATTGTCGATTATATTTTTTTCGATTGGAGAGTAATTTACCTGTGATGCACCAGATTTACCATATCTCTTTTTAATTTTTACTCCATATGTCCTCATAATATCTTCTATCTCCCCGAATTTATTTCTGTAGGCTGATAACAATCTAAAGTAATGCATATGTCATAAGAGTTGAATTCACATAAATATTGCAGGGTTCCCAAACTTTTGTTGTTTCTGAAGCCTGTGAAGCGGTCGAATATTATTTACGGAGTCACACAATGATTTTTATAAAATTAACTCATTGCTACTTACCAATTAATGTTCATGAGTAAATTAAAATTATTTTATTTAATGACTTGGATGTTTTTATTGCCTCTTTGGACAGTTACAAAATTAGCCAAGTCAGTATTTTAACAAGTAACTGAATAGCTCGCGTAGCGCCTAGCTTTCTACCTAGGAGCCCTGGAGTTTCGTATGGAGGACTTTTGAAACCTATGGTCTGTTGGACTAGTTTCAGGATTATACTATATATAATATATATGTGGAAATTAAAATTCAATATGTATTTATATGAGGTGAATTTCAAAAGTAAAGGGAAACCAAGAAACAAAACTTACCTTTCAAGAGGATTTCGTACAAATGTAAATTTGAAATAATTTTTCAATCTGTAATCAATTTCTTTGCTTGAATATTGATATAAATACTTCAAACCATGAGGATGATCTTTCACAAAACCATCGGATACCCCATCCAACACCATGACAACTCTTTTCCAATTTGAGCATGCTACCTAGAAATAAAAACACAAATGGTAAAATATAACTACTACAGAAAGATAAACAACATATCTGCTATAACAAACTCTATTCAGAGTTCCAGTTGTTCAAGTCAGTAAAAATTGGCATCAGGACTTTGCTTCAGTATAGGACAATTTATAAATGATATTTCACAAATTTGAAATGGATTATTCATTATATTACTAGCTTCTGAACATCAGAAAATATTGGTTTTCACTTCAACTGCACACCATAAATAGATTATGGAGCAATTCAGTCAGACATATCAGCAGTGTCTGCAACACCTGCTGCCATTTTGCATTTCCAATGACCATTATGAATGTATAACACTGTTGTTGTAAACAAAATATTATTTAATAACTTATCTGAGTGTTTAATTGAGTGAATTACAATCTATGTTAATATTGATTTGTATGATTTAATATAGATATAATTTAATATAGATATTTAACATATATGAATGAGTCATTTCATTCTGGCGAGCAAATTTCCAACAAAGAGATATTAGAATTTCAAGTATGGTCTGCTTGGGATTATCATGAAAATTTATCGTCTAGTTTATAATAAATCACAAGCCATCAAAATTACAATCACATTACCTTTGGGGTGTAACAATAAAGAAACTTATATTTGTCGCTGACAATAATATGCTTTAGTAAAACACTCCTTTCTTTTACATTCAGATGCTTCAGAATCTTGGATGATTTTGATGTAGAACATGCTGAACGAAGATTGCCAAGTCTCTGGCGTCTTTCTTTCTATAAAAATAGGGTTGATTGACCGTTAAATTTGAATATAGAGACTAATCCTCTTCTAACAAAAAAGACATGCCCTATGCGAAGAGAGGCAATTGGAGCTCAACAGTAGGTTACAATGTAAGTTACATCTGGTACAATGATAAGCAAACAATATTAGAATATAGACCAAATGCTACCTACTCTCACCCTCTGTACCATACCGCAGTACTGAGCTAAGGCTGCTAGAAGACAGTTGCAGGTTAGAAATGATCAGATACTTTATATATCAAAAGTCAAAACAAATAAATAGCATTTCTGCATTTAGCTGTATGTATTCGGCCTACCCCATTAGCAATCCCATTGAATTGGGAAATACTGAAGTCCTCATCATTACTGACGTGATATGTTTCAATCTGGTCAGGCGGAGAACGCACTTGATATGCTTGGTCGTCAACAGAGGAACTTGATAGCGAAAGCAAAAATTTTCCCCAGTTGGTGAAAAAACAGAACAGCAAGCGCCAACTGAAAGAATCTATTGTTCATTTCTAAACGTCAGAATGTACACCAATGTTAGAATGCTACCGATACATTATTTTACAATCAGGATATTTCGTGTCAGACAGAGAGATAATCATGGATCTTTAACAAATTTATCAACACCAATCGCCATCGCCACCATCCTTCGATTGAGACGGTGGAATGTTAATTTGACGCGCGAGCTGAATTAACTACAACTTTAAGCGGGCAGAACCAAAATTATTGACATTAAACATTTTGGTGAATAACGTAATCTGAATCTATGACAAGGTTATTTTATCTATTTATTTTATCTACAAAAGAAATTCAAATAACTAAAATGGCTATGGCCCTTCTAAAATTGCTGGGACAAGTGGGATACGTGGGACGCGACATTTTGGAGACACCGAACGAGCAGCAATATAGACATTCTACGAATAAGCATCTTCGACAATACATACGAAGGCACGATAAGCCGATAAGCCCATACACGATAGTCGTCATCGAGGTGTTCGGCATTTTAAAACCCGAAACTATCAAAACTAATCTCAGACTGGATAGGGAAGACAGATATAGAGGACTTGCACGGGTCACGTGACTTTGTTACTGGACGGCAATAAAACAAAAACGTCCATTTGGCTCCTGTCAGTTGCAAGTCGGATTATACGTTTCCGTTTTGTTTGGCTGTTGAAAATGGTTATTTCGTATTGTTCCGTTGGCTGTACGTATAGTATAGACAACGAAATGGATCTTCAGTTATATTCCACTGTTTTCAAAAGATCCGGAACGTCGCGCAATGTGGATATCATCTATTGGCAGGACTGCTTGGTGTCAAGTCCAGAAGCCATCTCACTTGTGTTTCACTGTTTGCGGACAGCACTTCGTTGATGGCGAGTCATCATGTGCCGTTATCAAATTTTTAAATATTCATAAGCTCCCTCATTTCAATGGAAAGCAGATGACAAAATACTGTTATTGGTAGGCCTTGGCGTAGGCCTACTTGCAGACTTGACTCGTGTAAGGTATTATTCAATAATTGCCATGAGGTATTGTTTTCCTAGTAAGCAGGTAATCTATCAGTAAGTGTGAAAAGTTGGATAGATAACTAAAGTTTAACGCCAGTGCTAATGCAAAAAATAACCAGAATTCAATTGAATTCTCCATCTAAGAATACGCTCGCCACTGCATCTCTGATCCCCTAGGGTGGTTCACAGGTTCCAATCCCATGCGGGGATAGTTATGTGCGAGGGGATTGCAGCTCTCCTCCCACTGAGGTGGTTCCCACGACCGCTGGTCGATTACCACATCCCCCACCATCAAGTATATGCTTCTAAAACAAATAACTGGATAACTAATCCCGACATAGAATGGTAATCGTACGATGTTGCACCTTGCAATCTGTCCCCAACCACAGATAAATTCTATCCTGAAAACTACCCACATTGGTAGGCATAGTTTCGTTTTAAATTGAAAGAAATCTTCAATAATGGTCAGAAGGTGTTGTCTGATTGTTTTGTTAGTTAGCAGGTAATTTATTACTGATCTGATACACAAACTTGGCACTGTCAAATGATGATTAGTGTTTAATTTATTTTCAGGAAAAAGGGAAGATAACCCATTATCAGCTGCTTATATGTCCCATCGATATTTGAATTTTCGCCATCCCCAGAGAGGAAGAGAATAGGGGGATTTTGAAGAAAGGCAAAAGGCAGGACCATTTCAACAAATTCTGTTAACTTGTATGCGTTGCAATATTAATTTGCAGTTGTTAGCATAAACATTTAATGTGTCTTTCGACTAGACCTACCACACTTTAAAAAAAGCCGCCACCCCTTTTCACTAGGACCATAATACTGTAAAATATTTGATAGAAATTACCCCCGAGGCATCATATCTTCCATTTGAAGGGGAATGGTCGTAACCGATCAGCGGTCATGTGAACCACCCTCGGTGGGAGTAGAGCTGCAATCCTTTCTGGGATTGAAACCTGTGAAACTCCCAGGGTGATCAGAGATGCGGTGGCGAGCGTATTCCTAGATGGCGAATTCAATTGAATTCTGGTTATTTTTTGCATGACCACTGGTGTTAAACTTTAGTTATCTATTCAACTTTTCACACTTAGTAATAGATTACCTGCTAATTAGGGAAACAATACCTTATAGCAATTGATTATTAATTCCTTACCGTCTTACACAAGTCAAGTCTGCAACTGCAAGTAGGCCTACTAATAACAGTAGTTCGTCATCTGCTTTCCATTGAAATGAGGGAGCTTGTGAATATTTAAAGAAATTGATAACGGCACACTATCACTACATTATCACTCACCATCAACGAAGTGCTGTCCGCAAACAGGGAAACACATGTAAGATGGCTTCTGGTCTTGACACCAAGCAGTTCTGCCAATGCAATAGGCAGTAGATGATATCCACATCGCGCGACGTTCCGGATCTTTAGAAATCAGTGGAATATAACTGAAGATCCATTTCGTTGTCTATACTATACGTACAGCCAACGGAACAATTCGAAATAATCATTTTCAACAGCCAAACAAAAGGAAACGTATAATCCGACTTGCAACTGACAGGAGCCAAATGGACGTTTTTGTTTTATTGCCGTCCAGTAACAAAGTCACGTGACCCGTGCAAGTCCTCTATATACATCGACTTGATATTGAACTAATACAACAAATGGGAATAAATATGTTTGTACAGTATATATACAAATATATTTCGACCCAAAATATTGAACACGATTACGGGCTACAGCAAAGCTAGAAAGAACTACTACGGCCAACAAGTCAATAAATTCACCGAGATTTATATGCCCCTACCGCACTACCCATAACTGGTAGCATAAATTTATGAGTCGGGCATGACGTTTTAATATGCTACTGATCCGTAAAAAACACGGTTTCCCCATTAGCTGTTTTGCATGCTTCAAATGGCTAAGAACTTTGGATCGTGTAATAAATTTCTTGAATTAGTGGAGGTCATGCACGTTTAATTCCCTCATGATAACTAATTTACTTTTAGATGTTTTGTAGCTCTTAAAGTAAAAGCGACGCTATAAATAAAAGACAATTTGCCTCGGAATTGATGAACTTTTATCCGTTGTGTGGCAACAAATTAAATATTTATATCGAACTTTTAAATGAAGGAAAAATACATATTATTACAAAGGTATAGTATATTTGTATAACCTTTGTTGAATAATGATGCATGCTAAACACACTTTCGAAAGCACAAGAAAAAACTTTCATTGCGTTATAACATACACGAAATAAGTAAAAAGATATGTCGATGCAAAAAAATCTTCAGCTCAGTCACGTAAAGGAAATTTGTATATACACCTATCTGAGTTGGATGAGAAATAGGCAGGAGTACCACAATAATAACAAGTGACAGCAATACTCTATTATATAATAATAGCTGGTCAACGACATGCGAAGGTTTCATTCTGGAGAAGGATATGACAGAACATCCGTTGAAAAACCATGACCAAGCGTGCAAATATTTGATTATTTCCTCATTGTTTTTCTTCGCATGGAAATATAGGTGACCTCAAATGAATTTCTGAAAACGAATCCAGATGTGTCAAACATCATAATAATCCTTCGAGAGTCTCAATGAAATTAAAAGAAAGTTTATTTTACGTCAAATCAACAAATTCTAGTTTAAACTTTGATTCATCAAAAATGTAATATACTTCAGCAACGGGTTTCGGAGACATTCTGATCTGAGCTATCCATAGACCCATAAGGATATATTTATTGGGTAATGCGGAAAGACGAGTGCTTGAGACGCAATGAATCGGTGACAGTTCGGACATATTGCCGATTTTATTGATGCCTTATCAGTCAGCAAGAAATATATATACGTTTGTTGCCCTGCTCGTCTCAAGATGTTTATCACGAATTTTTTTTTTGTGATATTTGATTCTATATATATATTCAGAAATTTTGACGTGTACTATTTACATAAAGACGACTTAGTTTTCAACTTATAATTTTTAAAAACCACTCGAACAAAATTCGACAGCACTTCAGAAATGGCACTTGATGAGGTAGCATTGAGAACTCCTTTCAGAACTTGCCCTCATCGTGTGATCGCGAGTAGGTGTTTAAACTCTGTTTTCGGCATTTAATCACACCGTTATATAAACCAACTTTGCACATGGTTAAAATTGCAATCTGAGCGTCTGGACAGCACAAATTGGTACATTTACCAAGTGAAATGACTAGTAAGGATTTAGTTTTTTATGCATTTCACATTAATATGCAACAAGACACTGTTGCATATGAACATTACTAATCTGTCTGGTGATATTATCCTGATTTTTTAAGCTTAATTCGTATTATGTTTTCCTGTTCACACTGATATTAATTAACAACAAAGACCGGCTGTCAATGAAGGTACATTTTAAGCTAGTCATTTGTTATAAAATGTTGGAGTATGAATAAAGAGAAGATGAGATTCCCAGTTTAATCCTGTGTGATTTCCAGAATAAGAGAAACGTTTAGGTCCATCCAGGAATAAAGTTGGCTCTTGCATGTCAATGCATATATATTTTAACAGAGGCTTGTTTGGAATGACAAAGCACATCATTTAGTTCAATGCAATATTTATAACAAAAGGCATCAACTATTGGAGATTCATGAGGAAAAATAAATTTATTGTCATGAATGAATTACATAATATGATGAAAACTTGTAATAAAATATTAAAAATAGATAAAAACTTGATTTGATAAACTGCGTCAGGTATTGTTGTTTCGGGCTGTGAGCAAGAGTTAGCATGAATTTCTACATTATTCTAAGGCGGAAACGATTCGAATTAGAGGACTTCTTTAAGTTCCATCAGAACAGGTTACTTGAGAAAATTTGATCCATAGTTTTCTTGTTCCATGCTTTGGGACAGACTACTTAATGTGAATTCTTCTGTAACCATCGACTACACATCCCACCCGCTAGTGTTGAAAAGCACATATATACTAATTCTAATATACGATGAACGCCAAAAATCTTAAAAAGTTATATAGAATCAAATTTGCCACAAGAATGTTTGCGAGATAACCCACCTTTAAGTTGACAGTAATTTCTGATAATACAACGATATTATTTGAAGATATTGGTATGTATTTAAACCACTATAGCGTTTGCCAAATGCATCGTCCAATAGAACTAGCATAAGGTTCAAAATAAGTACACAGAACACTATAATTGCCTTTGACCTATTTCAAACCGACGCCGATGAGTTCTCAGTACTACGTCATCAACGGGACGTACTAATTTGAGTTCGATTTCGGGGGGTTGACTTTTAAAAATTCTTGCAAACGAAACCCACTTTATGCAAGCGGTAAACGACAAAAACCTTTAAAAATCCTATAGAATCAAATTTGCCGCAAAAAAGTTCGCGTGATAACCCACCTTTAAGGCTGTGTATAGGCTACTAATTATTCTCAGCTGCGATGTAAAAATAATTATGACGTTACAAAACATACAGTCAATAACTAGGTTTATCGAAGAAACTAAACTTTCATGACATAATTTTATATCAACAACACAAACGCAATACAATATTTAACAACAGGAACGGCGCGCTCCGACTACAGATCACCTGTGTAGCCTACATAGGGCCCCAAAGTCTTAAGTGCGTAGGGCCTCTAAAACTGTAAAATGCATGATTTAAACAGTTGCACAGTTTAAACTGAACTTTTGAATTATAAGGAACCTTCATTACCGAAGCGTCCACTATACAAGTATGGATATTGATAAGTTCATAACAATATAAAGTGAGATCATAAATGAGAACTAAGTACAGTCGCTGTGTTAATAAGAAGCTTTATTAACACTGTTCTGCTCAGAGTGGCTAAGGGGTACGGCTACCGTATTGGTATTCTGGTATAGGCATTTGTCCATTAGGAATATTGGACGTCAAGAAGTAACGGTACACTTACAATTCTAAATACTGGTCTGTATGAAAAACATATAGAGGATTTAGTGGCGACTGACGCTTTTCAACAGTCTTGAAGTTACGAGGAAATGCTACCTAAAATATTTAATGAATGACTCTTTTAACAGTAATACTGTTAAAAAGTGACAGTCGTTCAACGTTTAAATAGCATATCACCGTAACTTCAATACCGATAATATTCGATTAGGGAGAAACTTGAATAATATTTTCTTCGCCAGCAAGTTTTTTAAGCTCTTCTCTCGTTTAGGATAAATCTTCGTCACGTGTTAATAAAAACGAATTTTGATGGCTCCTGTCAGCGGGTCAGTAGCCTACTTAAAAAATCTTTTGAACCATTTGATCGTTGAATTATTGTTTATATAACCCCTCTCCGACTTATTTGAATCGATCATTGTTGTTTGGTCGCAATTAAATATCCTGCAACCATTTGTAAACCCCTTATGCCGAATTTATCATTCTGAGTTGAATTATCCAACGATGCCTGCTATTTAGTAGTCCGGTACTCCATGTATGAAATTCTCTTTTCTCCTCTAATTTTGTTTTAGGTCTCACCACTGCATCCAGCCTCACCCTGTCATGTACCCTATCGCTAGACGTTTCCCTTGGAACATTAATTTCTCCGCTGCTGTTTGAATTTTCATTTAATTTAAAAGCAGACGATATGCATCGCCACAAAATATTTTCAAGATTTTTCTGGTGTCCGTCCTGGCGATCTATGACGACTTTATCCCATTATAAATAAACGGGAACAGGCTAATAATTGGTAATGCCCGCGCTCCCATGCTTTTCTTAATTACAAAATGCAGTTCTTACGAAAACGCATTTGGTTGAGGTTTTAAGGGTGGAATGGGATGACAGATCAAAAATAGGGGCGGTGTAAGAAAATATAGGTGGACAGCGACACGCCAGCCCACACTTTGATCAACCGGTCCTCTCTATTATCACTTAATACAGAAATGATACCAAAGTATCGATTTCGCTGTTTACTTCCGTAACAATGGATAATCCCAGCAGTCAACCATGGCGTAACGATTAGGAATTTTTGGGATGCCCGGGCACCTTTTTCATACAGACAGATTTCAGGCACATTTGTACGCGTAGACTCGTAGTTTAGTTAGAGTGTATAATGTCAATTTTGGATATGTTTCCAATTGTAAATATAAATCCAATAACTAATCCGTCTTGTTGTATTTGGAAGAGTTTTATTCTGAAGCAACCTTAAATAAAAAGCGCTAGGCTAGTAAAATTAGCTGTCATAGGCGTACCATGATTGCAACGCAAAATGCACTTGGCGAGTCTTGTCGGAAAGTACAGAGCGTTGAAATCATTCTGTGTTTCTCAATTGGATATTTCTCGTACCATAGATATAGCAACTGTCTCCGACGATGTTCAAAATGAATATAAATACGGCTGTCGATGACTTACGATAGACAAATGAAGCTGTACTTTGTGACGTAATAAATAATATGGTGGTCATTTTATTTCGTGTTATCATCGATTCATCATGTAAGTAAATTTCGCAATCCCTTTAAATCTAAAACAACATAACAATAACATCCTAGTACGAGAAACCTCGACGTTCTCCGTTTTTGTCTTCTTTACACGGACATCAAAATATGAAATATAATCTATAAAATTCAAAATAAATGACGGCAGATTTTACTAGACAGACTATCAATTTCTTTTGCACGTCAGAAATACTAAATGTAATTTCCAATACAAACGGTGATTACTAAAGCAGAGCCAATGTCGGTGGTTTAAAAATGATTTTCGACACACAATGTAGGTGCCGTTCTTTAATCCCGCGTACCATACTAATCAATAATTTATATTAGTTGAATAATCAAAATAGTAATTACAGTTTTATAGGTAGAAATTGAATCATGCGATTCGTATCTCAGAAATAATCATGGAGTTGCCATGTTTTCCGATCATTTACTCGATGCCGTCATATTCCACTTTTTTTTTAAATGCCATTACATTAAACTTTGCTGATTTCGTTATTTTGATTTGGAATACTGAAAGAGGTTTCGTGGAATTATATTCTCGCCTCTATCCAATTCCATATTTCGGCTCAGTTACTTGTAGCAAGGATTATTTTTTGTTTCTTCAGAGGATCACGTGATTCACAGTGTGCAGCGTCTGAAGATGTTCCGAATATGTTGTCCAAGTACGTGAAGAAAGGTTGAAAATTAGTCAAGGGCTTCTGATGGTGCATATCATGTTTAGGTGCTCCTCCCCATAGATTGAAAGGCGATACAGACGCCATCGACCCCGGGAAATCATATCCGGTATGTGCCTGAAATTTGCGTGTAGAACAGCATTACATTTCATAACAATTATGAATTGATAAAAATAACAAGAGAAAAATGCGCAAATAAATGAATACGAAGTAACTTACCGTAGCTAGTCTACAGTGCGATACCGGTATCGGAAAAATTCCGACGTTAGCGTAGCACGAATTCGCAAAATCAAAATGAAAGACAGCCGGCACGATTGGCGTAATAAATTTTCCCACGCATAAAAATTGAACAGCGAAATTTTGGATGAAATATCAAATTTCATAGGATCCTTAGGAACAAATAGAAGTAATAGCCTACTAGCGACAACAATATTCCTCAACCATTAAAAATTTCAAGGAAATTGGTTTGGTAGTCGAACAGAAAAGCGATTTGATCCAGGACAGGTTGTTGGAACTGACTATGTTGAAGTTGCAGGCTGAAAGGTTCAAACTCCATGCCAGCGGCCATGTTGTAGTTAATGTTTTATTTTTTGCGAGCAACGCCTAACAGGAAAGATTTCAGTTATTTCAAAAATAGTAGTAGCAAAAATATACTCAGTGACTGCTTGACCAAGGTGGAATGGTGTCATAAAATTATAGTTTGAGGCTAGAGAATTCCATCAGATTTTATTTTGCAATACAGTAATCTGCAGTTCTAAAACAATGGAATTAGTATTCAAATTTGAGCCCTATTTATTATACGGAAAACAACATAAAATGACAAATTTTGCGACCTTTATACTTAAGAATAGTGCACCATCAGCGCTTGCCTTTTACCTACACACTCGAGCGCCTTTTTGTAAAACAAAAGTCGACGCTCATGTGATAAATGTCCATAATAAATGATTGCGACGACTTGCATATACGGTAATTAAAAATTGATTTGATGAATAAATAAGTAAATTGAATGAACTTCGCAGTTTTTCTTTTTTACCGTTGAAATGCATAATTGGAAAAAAATTAGATAATAAGAAAAATGTATTAATCGAATCACATATGACATAAACATTTGTATAGGGTTTCCCAGTAGTTTTCACATATTTTACTAAATGTTAATATTTTCATGGTAACAAAAACATCTATTTTTCACTAATATTTCGATTTCACTTGCCTCGACTGATACGTAGATATTCATCAATATTGCCACGTGCGTGGTAAGAAAATGTTGATTCAAAATAAGTGGATTAAGATTTGCAAATATTCCCACAGCAACTAGTTCGCATCCTGTTACATACTGTGTTGTCCAAGAACAAGGTGAATTGTGCTCATGGTGTAACTTGTGCACATATTTATACAGGAATCTGTAGTTGTGGTGAAGCCTGTGCCACCAGTAATACTGAAAATCAAATATCAACATATTGCCCAACAGTCCCAGCACAAATTCCGCCACAGAAGGTGCCTGGACTGACAGAGAAATGGGTGGTCTAAATAGCCACTGGTAGATGGCAGCGGGAAGCACAAAAAGCACTTGGTTCTGTAAAGAACAAACAATGGCTTCCTTCATCTTGCCCAACTTTACTGGCTTTTGCTGGATCTTGTTACTATATATCCGCGGCCAACTTTCACCTTTTATATCCATAATCATGAAGGGTAAATTCAACACAAAATAAAATGCCACACTGATCAGGACAGGAAATAATGGAGAACGACAGAAATCTCCAATTTCTAGACGAAGATAATCCCACATCGGTTGTAGAAGGAAGTCATCTGATATCCATTCATTTTCAGTATAATTTCCAATCATCGAACGGACCGTCAATGCCATGACTTTATTATTGACTTTTATCCATTTATACTTGGTTTTTACAAAAAAAATTAGTAAAGAAACAAAATATGAAATAAGTTGACTTTCTTTTTCGATTTCTAATCAATTCAATTCTTATTTCATCAGTTTAATCCTAAATTCGTTCTTACTTTTACGAAAAATATTATTTCTCGGAAAATGATTTTAGAAATAGAAAATGAAATATTTGTACTCTCATATATATTCAAGTTTCGAAATTTATTCATTTTTACTCCTAGAATTTCGCTCAAAAACTCGAGTACTTTGCAATTGAAACAATTTTAGTCGAACTCGAATTGAGGTTTCGGTTCGAAACCAGTTATTTGTGACTTCAATTGATTCTAAGCCCATTCTTTTTGTGTGCTCGAAGGTACTATGGAAAGCTAGTCAACCAAATAACTTCCAAGATACTGGTTTAAAGTATCGGATGAGTTTGACCAACTCTTTATTTGTGGCTTGAGTCGAATTAGATAGTTTCTCAAACTCAAGTCATTTTGATTTTTACACAAGTCAGGTATAAAATATTTCTAAAAACTTCAATCGCTTTGTGCATTTTAAATATATATATAGTCAAAACATATATATATATAGTCAAATTTTTGGCATATTTTGCTCGGATCGCAAAATGAATACTCGAACTCTTCAGTTCTCAAACTACATTTTTCACAATGTTCAACAATGATCTTGAATATAGCCTCATACACAAATCATTTTATTTTATACTGAAGACAAGTTTTAGTCCTGCACTGCTTTAAAATCACACGCCATCCGGTTTTACTGACAAGTAATGCACCATGACTGAGTACCTGTTAGCGTTTCAGTAGCCGCCCGTAAATTGATTCGGAGATAAGTTATATATTTATGATAACACTGACTTTATTCTGATTTTGGTCTGAATTTTTTTTATTTGTCTTAAACACAACTTCCGCGTCCTTGATGATATTGACTTTAAGGAGTGTCGTGTCAATATCTACAAACAACGCACTCGATGATTTGTCTTTATTTTAGTATTTTTTCGTGAGTCTATAAACTACAAATACACACACCTTATAACCATATTTTATATAACTATTTCACATTGTTGCAAACTGCACACGAAAATTCACCATTTTTATGGTTTCAGGTGAACATATTCTCATGGAATCATGTGTGTTCAAAAGAAAAATTACCAGGCGCCTTGATAAGCAGATTTTGTTTGCAAATACTTATCCTTGTGTTCTGGATAAACATATTGCGTATGGTTGTGTAATCCAAAATAATAAATATTGTTTGATCATGGTAATTAGGTCAAAGTGCACATTGCTTCACATAGCTAGTTGTTCATTATGTTGCAGTTTTGCAACAGAGGCAGTTCTTGAACTGAAGATTGCATCAAATCGTGAATTTATCTTCCTAACGTATGTTTAAGAACATGTTATTTTCGAAAAAATGGACGGAACGAAAAGCGAAAAATTAGACTGGTGGTAGAAAGAATGTAGAAAGATAATAGTAATATTAAGATTTCTCGGAAAAATTGACCATAGAAAACATAACATCAAATACAACGATGTTGACATTTTACCAATAAAGTTTAGTACAGCGACGTGCATTTTCTACGTGTGTACTTTTCGCTGCGGTTCACATCGGTCTCATTCAACCTGGTCTATTCAACTGAGTTTTAACCCGGTATTGGTATAGACTGGCATTTTTCGTTGGTTATAATTCATTCCTTAATCGTACGATCGTTGCCACGCGGACTATGATGCTATGATGTACAGAACATCCACTTTCATGTAAATCTACATATATATACGACAGCAATTGAGTGGCTAAAGTTGACTAACTTTATCAAAGTATGGTAGATGTCTTACTTTACGTGTAAACTCTTGGCTTAATATTTGATTCTAGCTTCTATTGCTTGTCGTCAAAATTATTTTCTGTTTTTTCAGAGAATCTCGTGAATCACAATGACCAGCGTCTGATGACGTTTCGAGTATCTTGGCAAGCACGTAGAGAAGGGTGGAAAATTAGTCAATGGTTTCTCAAGATGCATATTATGTACAGGTGCTCCTCCCCGTAAATTAAAGGGTGCTAGAGCTGAAACAGTCCACGGAAAATCGTATCCGATATGAGCCTGAAATTTAAAAAAATAGAATAGATTTCTGTGTTTTTAACGACTGTGAGCAATTGAATAGTGCGCTACCAACATTTTTCGTCCCCAGTACCAGCTTCCGCGTCACCACACCATTGGTCAGCAATTTGAACAAAAAGGAAAAACCTGTTGCAGAGAGAATTTTCCCTTTGCGACCAATGACCTTCATATGTATGTCGAAGGTGACGGTGGCAAACCGTCATGACGACAAGAATGTTTGAATGTGGTTTTACAATCACCATACCTCGTAGTTTCTGTTTGTACCCGCCATATTGATTCGCAATCAGGACGACAAGCAGACTCGAATGGGCAAATATTACTGGTGCAGTCGGGAGTTATGTGACTAGGATTGATATGCACAGCACGTTTAAGAACAAGGAGAATTGTGCTCATGGTGTAACTTGTGTATATATTGTATGGGAATCTGTAGTTGTGATGAAGCCTGTGCCACCAGTAATACTGAAATTCGAATATATATCAATATGTTGTCCAACAATCCAAGCCAAAACTAAGTCATTGAAGGTGCCTGGCCGGAAAGAGGAATGGGTGGTCTAAACAAACATTGATATATAGCAGCAAGAAGCACAAAAAGCAACCGGTTCTGTAAAGTACAAATAAGGACTTCTTTCATCTTGCGCAACTTTACTGGTTTTTGCTGGATTTTAAATTTATATATACGCGGCCAACTTTCACCCATTATATCCATAATCATGTAGATTCAACACAAAATAGAACGTCATACTGGTCACAACAGGAAATAATGGAGAACGGCAAAAATATCCCATTTCTAGACGAAGGTAATCTATATCGATTGTAGCAAAAAGTCATTTAAGGTCCACACTTTTTCAATATAATTTCTCATGTGCAAGTATATTAAATGCCATGTTGCAGTAATGCATTTTCAAGTAATATTTCAACGTTATTTAGTAGACACAACAACAAACTGTAAATAAAAAGATGCGATGATACAATTCCCGATATTTCATTTGTCCTGGTAATTATTCTGTATTCAAATCAGTTCCAAACTATATACCATATAGGTACCATCAACTACGTAGGGTACTTAATTGTGTATCCTTGCAACACATGGGGATCTTCTGGGCATGAAGTTATATTGTTAATGACGCGCCGTTGCTATTTCAAATATTCACTCATTATTCATTTCCTTGTATGATTTACGACAACAATCTCTCAAGCAAGTGTTTATTCCGTGTTAAAAGAAGTCTGATCCTGTGCCCAAGATTTGGTCATTGGTATATTTCTTCGGTGTAGTATCATTTACTAATAGTATTAAGGTTTAAATGTATGTTCATGTATCGATTATTTCATAATTCGATTATTTAATCGATTATTTAATAATTCATTTCGATTATGCAACTTTAATATATATGGACATTTGGCAACCCAATCACGAATATATTTACGAAAAAATCCATTTTCGCAGCAAACGATGTCGTCTATAGCTAAGAAACGTTCTTGCAAAACTACGTTCACGTATACCTCACGTATAGGCTACCTCACACAACCAATGACTCGGGTTCCTCACCCCAAGCCCTTAATTAAAATGGCTTCATAAGATATGGCCTTTCAAACCAGCGCCGCGAAAATGTCAGAGATAGGACTGATAAAAGTAACATGATACAATGAAGACATATTGATTTACAAACGGTTGATAGTTTTATTATTGGTCATCCTATATTACATACCACCGCTTGTGTCGCTTCCATTCGCTATGTCTAATGAACATTAACAACAAAGCAATGCTCAGACATATGAACACAAATGTCCATTGACTATCGCAATAACAGTAGCACATACGCCTTACAGTGAAATCCGCTATCTATTAATTCAAAAACTAATATAATATACATAGATATTGGTAAGGCTAGCTGATCGGCTTTGTTGAACTGGTCTGACACAACGTAGCAGCGTAACATTCGTAGGAATAACAATATTTTGTGAAATTCCGAGCCATATAAGACTCGAAGAATAAATAAAAACGATTAATCCCTTAGTTTCGGTTTCCCACCTACATAGATAGGGATTTGTTCAAAAATAATTGTTTAAAAACAATTGTTTTAAATCAATTTTTTTGCCTGTTTTGTTCAAAATGTCTGTACTATTTGATTTTTTTGTATTAAATAGGTTGAAGAAAAATGGATGTAAAAACTTGCCAAGCGCTTCATATTTTCAATAAATCCATTAAAACGCCACAAATATCGATAAAAGCTCATACACACCTTTTCAAGCTGTAGTTCAGTGGTTGGCGCAGTAAGACGCAACCGATAAGCCATTACGTGAACGGCCCTGCGACGAAACCACCTTGCGAAAATTGAAATGCGATCGAATAAACGAGTTTGTATAACCTTGAAAAACTCTATCACTTCAACTTTTAAAACAAAGTATGCTAAGCATAACCGGACAGTATTAACGTAATATTGTCTTCATTTTATAAGAAAAACGTCAATACATGCCCTCGAAATCCATACTATGGCGTCATAACAAATCAGTTGTGGCGTCTTTGCAACAGAGGACTCTTACAATTAGCATAGGCGAGGCTAGGGCGACTCATCGTTTATATCAGTAGATTGCCGCCGATTTAAGCATATTCTTCATTATCGCAACCCACTCGTTTTGTCGAAGGCTGCCTTTGATCTAATTGCTTTTGTAGTAACCAAGAGAGCTGAGTTTCATGATTTTTTCCACTCAAAACGTCTCTCTGATATCTGGATAAACATTCCGGTTAAAATCTTATGACTTTGGTGGAGATACAAACGTGGCGATAAATGTACGCAATAGAAGTAAAAGTCAAAATAAGGATTTGTACTTACATTTTTGAAATTATAATTCC